GACGGGGTTGTGACTACGACGATGAGGCCATTTTCTAAAAAAAAAAACAAAAGACACATTGCATTTAATTAAAACATATCATAATCCAATAAATAAAAAGAAGCAACTTTTGATATAGAATGACAACTCAATTTAAAGAATATCTTGAACTGCTACTGTGTCCCAAATGATCAAAACACATTAAAACAATTGAGTCCACAGGGATATTCATATGATAATGATGATGATGACGATACATATGTACACACCAGAAAATCACTGAATTATCATTGTTATTATTATTATACTACCAAATATGGCCAACCTATATAGTTTTATTCAATTACAGTCTAACACAGTTGCCCCGCCTCTAATAAGATGAAGAACAAACAAAATCCATTAATCCAATAGCTAAAATCACCACAAAGCAACAAAGAAAACTTTCTGTAAAAGGAATTAATCAGTAAATTTAACCCCACCAAACAAATCCCCATAAAAATTGAAATTTTATACTCATACACCAAGTATCTAGAGTTGCATATAATTTCATTAAAACAGAACTATGTGATGATTCAAACAAACGCGGAAGCAGTTTCACTGGGAATTGAACCTTCAGGAGAGCGTCCCACTCTCCATTCAGATCTCATTCACTAATGGGAATATCATAAACACTCTTCAAGGGTTTACAGTATAGAGTCCCTCTACACTCTACTTGAACAGTAATTCACACAACTACTTATCTGACCACAAATCCCTTGTGGGTTTTCTAGTTCGAATCTCTCAAACTATCTCAGAACGAACCTCTGAACACTCTGTTACAGACTCACAAAATAATGTATATAAAAATCTCACTTCACTCAAAGAACAACAACACTTCGAACAGAAAATTAGAGATGCAAAAGTCGTCCTCTACATGCGTATCGTTCTCCTTTTATCCTCGAGCTTCAATTGGTAAGCCTCTCTTTTTCTTTGCGTCCAAGTTATAATCACACATGGAAAATCTCTTATATTCAAGGCTGCAATCTTTTCTCTTGCGATTTAAGGAAGGTGAATCCCGAGTTTATCCCAATGGACCTCCATAATAAAAACACTTATTAATAATTAATAATAAAAAGAGTTATCAATCAAACTAAAAAAACTTTCCTTAAATATTCCTGCGAATATTCTGAAACCTGTGAACGCCCAAGGTTCATCGATTTACTGCCAATCTTCAGAACTTACAATCTCCCCTTTTGGTAGATAAATCGAAAACCATTTCCTTGAACCGGCATGAATTAAACACATATCCTGCACTATAGATATTTACCCCAAGAGAACTTGTACATCACATAAGTGTTGTTCATGAGAACAACTCAAATACCTGAATAAGAGCGAAATAGTTCACAGGATAGCAATACAGAAAATGTTCATCACAAGCAAGAAGAAAAGAGAACATAAAGGAAAGAGTTCAAACGACCACACACAGACCAAATAGTATTTAACAAAACACATATGAATGTCCAGCTGAGAGATCTATGCAGACTCTTCTTCCTCAGATTCCTTCCCCGAACCTTCTTCGGTACCATCTTCGGTCTCTTCTTCAGAAGCCACATCATCTTCTTCATTCTCATCATCAGAGTCTTCTTCATCAGAACATTCATCCTCTTCCACAACCTTCTCTTTTTCCTTGTCATTTTCTTTTCCTTTAGTGGTTATATCAGCAGCAGCCTTCTCCTCCTCAGCAGCTTTCTTTGCCTTCTCCCCCTCAGCAGCAGCCTTTGTCTTCTCCCACTTAGCAAGTACCTTCTTCTTCCCAGCTACAACAGTGACTTTCTTCTTAAGCTCCCCCTTTCCAACAACTTTCTTTATCTCCCCCTTTTTTGGTTTAGATACCAAAGGGGCCCGTGACTTCAACGCACCTAGCACCTCCTTATAGTACCTTCGTTAATCAGCCAGCTCCTTTTCGAGCCTAGAGAGGACAGCCACTTATTGGTTCAAGAACCGACGCAGGTGAGAAGTAACATCAGAAGCTTTCACAAGAGATGGGCGTGGAGGTGCAAATTTAATACCAGCAAGGGCAAGAGGTTTGAGAGTAAGGGATAAATTATCACCCACACGTGGGTCCATTTTGACACCCGCCTTGAAAAGAATAGCACAAATGGTATACAGATAAAGTAGTAGTTTGTGGGGCTTGGAGATTTCAGCGAACGACACCACGACATCAAAAATTACCGAACCAACATCAAAAGGAACACCATTGAGAATGAGGTATATAACTCGAGCCTGAGTAGGAGTCACAAACTGTTTGTGAGAGGTCAGTGTCCAGTTCAACGCTCCAATTTTCTGTAGATCATTTGCAGGTCGAGTGAGACTCTTGACAAAGAGTCCGAGAGCAAGCCACTTGTTCAATTTCCCACCAGTTAGAGTGTGGGTAACCTCATCAAGATCATCAGTGAGTGGAGAGAGAGAGAGGAACTTTCGGCCAATCCAAGCACAGAGTTAATGACAAACGGAGAAAACACAATGATACTATTCCGAACAATTACTTTTTGAAACTTCATGGAACTGGGGTCAGAAACAGATGTAGTCAAGTTCGAATAAAATTCAGCAACAAGTTGAGGGCAGTATTTACCAACAGACGTCATAGAACCTTCAAGGCCAACCTTTTTCAATAGTTCAAGCAAGCCAAGTTGTTCAAAGTGCTCACCAACAATCGTTCTCTGAGGACAAAATTTCATTTTGAGAAAATATACTGGAAAAACGAGTTTCAGACATAGGAGTATAATATTAGCTGGAGAAAGCGTTACCAATATCAAGAGGACTATCTGGACCGTCACCTTCAACATCATCGACGGTCTTCTGTTCAACAGCAGGGGAACTTTCCTTGTCAGCTGCAACCTTATTGTCGGGTTTTTTGGGTTCACCATCATAATTATCAATTTCTTTAGCTTTAGAGTCATTACCAGAACCCGGAGAATATTCTCCACTGGACTTGGAGATAACAACAACAACAGTTGAAGGTGCAAAAACATGAATGGCCTTTTTCGCCTTTTTCGGTTTTCCTCCAGAAGGTGTTGGATCCTTCTTCCATTTCTTGGGAGATTTCACGACAGAAGGAGATACTTTTTCACGTTTCTCGCTGGTACCGACAATATCGGGTTGAAAATCTTATTTTGTGGAGAACTTCTTAGGACCCGGTGAAACCCTAGGTGCGACTTGTTCAGTGGGTTGAAGTTCTCCATATCAGAAGTAGTAGGGTTTGGTCGAGTTTCAGTGCTTTGGCTTTGACGAGTTGAACGCCGAGAGGGTAGAGAAACATTCTTCTCCGACTTTTCGGTTCCCTATTTGGATTTAGGCATGATTTCGAGAGAGAAACTTCACAGAAAAATGGTAGGTTAGATAATTTTGGTGAGAAGAGAGAAATCATGAGAAGATTGATAAGGGGGATATAAGCAAAAGTGATATGATATATATAGAGAACTGAAATTGCGGTTACCGAGGTAAGTTGCAAGACGGTTCGACTAAATGATTTGAAATTCAAAACTTGTTCAACACATGGTAACACAAAACTACTCGACCGGCTGGAACTTGA